ACACAATAATGGGCCATTTGGGGGCCCAAATGAAGCCCAAACGGGCTGAAACATGGGGGTCCACCATTTTTAGGCCCAATAAAGATGATGGTCAAGTCAGATTTTGTAGATGGGCCCCACAACGTTCTCGATTGCACTACATGGTTCGTGAGTCTTCCGGGAGCTTCTAGTTAAATCTAGGGCAATCATCACGTACCCGGCCAAAAGGCCGAAATATACATAACCAAACCAATGTTGTTTTTCTTTTAAACTCTTCGTGTCTTAAAAAAAAAAAGTACAAGTATTAGGATCTTTTATCAAAATGGCTAATTTATTAAAGTATTTCCCAAAACGGCTAATTATAAATTTTAATTCCAAAACTAGCTAAATAATTGACTTGAAAGGAAATTATTTATTTCTTATTTTCCTTTGAACTGGAAAGGTTAACTTTTTTGGGTTATTTTTTTTATTAATTTTGTTTTTTTTGGGTTTATTTTAAATTTTGCTTCTTTTTTTTAACTTGGAAAATTTAAAGGCCGGTAATTTTGTGCGTAGTATATGGCTTTTAAATTCCGGCTTTGCCCACATTCCTTTTTTTGGATTTTTTAAAATATATATTTTTCAATTTTTTGGTTTTTTTTTGGAAAATTTTAAAGCTATTGTTTAAAATATCCATTAATTTGGAAAATAACATTCAACATATATTTGCAACAATTCTCAATTTTATTATAAAGTTATTTAAAATAAAAAATCACTCAAAAAAATAGTCGAAACTTCCACTTAACAAAAATTAGCCAACATTAGCAGAGAGCATACATTTCACTACAAAAAAAAATGTCCATATAGAACCGGAATTCTAGCGACGGAATTAAATCCGTTTCTAAATTAGAGATGGAATTTAAAGATTCGTCTCCTAATTAATTTAGAAATGGAATTAAATAGTCCTTTTCTAAATTAGAGACGGAATTAAAAAATCGTCACTAAATTAGAAACGGAATTGAAAATCCGTCTCTAAATTAGAAACGGATTTTTTTTCTTAATAGAAATGGTTTTTTTTTTTCCGTTGCTAAATTTAGAGACGGATTTTTTTTTTTTCCGTTGCTAAATTAGAGAAGAACTTTTATTTTCCTTTGCTGATATGAGCGATGGATTTTTAATTCCGTCTCTAAATTATTTTCAAAACGAATTATGTAAAATATTACGTTACTTTATAGACGAATTATGTAAACTAAAATCCGTCTCTAAACTAGAGTGCTAGGACTTAGGATTAATTAGATTGTAATAAGCAGATTTGCAAAAGGATAGAGCAGCAATTGGTTGTTATATTTAATCAAAGTAATCAAATATTACAGATAGGCCTTCTTTCGAGAGGAAAGTGCTCTCCAAATGCTACTCAATTTTCTGGATGCCCTTTACATCATCATAGCATCCAATATATACTGCTTACACCAAGCAAGCTTCTACAAGGATCCACAACATCCCCCCTTGCTAACAGAATATTATTCTCTAAACAAAAAGACTAACAAACCCTTATAATAACCCCTTAACAGAATTACCAAAGCTTAAACAGATTTATTGAAAGCAAATAAAATATCTTGGGCTGAAAAACGCATCTTCCTTCACTTGATTTGCTGGCGCTTCTTCCTAGCATAAGTCACCAGAATTGGAGGCTTGGGCTGATTCCTTGCAATACCCTCCCCACAAAGTTTCACCTTGTCCTCAAGATGGAAAGTAGGAAAGCGATCCTCGATCTCAGAGAAAGCTTCCCAAGTAGCTTCATACTCCGGTAGCCCTGCCCACTTGATCAACACTTCCACCAACGAGTGCTGCCCCTACAGCCTATTGCGAACACCCAGCACATCTTCAGGCTCAACGTGCAGAACCAAGTCACCATCCAACTGGTCAGGTAATGGAGAAGGGGTCAGGTTCTGGCCATAGGCCTTCGTCAGCTGGGATATGTGAAAAACAGGATGGACTCGAGCTCCCTCAGGCAACTGTAACTTGTATGCAACTTCTCCCACTTTTTTTAACACCGGGTACGGGCCGTAAAATCTGGGGACAGCTTCTTAAACTGTCTGGAAACCACAGAATTTTGGAGATAAGGTTGGAGCTTCAAAAACACCAAATCACCAACTTGGAAGTGGTCATCTCTCCTCTTTCTGTTCTCATAATATTTCATATATTCCTTAGCTTTCAAGAGATGAAATTTGAGGTCATCTAGCACAGCATCACGATCTAAGAGTTGTTCTTCAATAGAGGACACATTTGTGGACCCAGGGGAAAAACGAACCAGTTGAGTTGGGTCTCTCCCGTATAAGACCTTAAACGAGGTGTGCTGAATAGTAGTGCGGAAATTTGTATTGTAGCTATATTCAGCCCAAGGTATCCACTCAGCCCAGGTTCTCGATTTGTCGTTGATAAAGCACCGTAAGTAGGACTCCACGCCTTTGTTAATCACATCGTTCTGCCCATCCGTTTGCGGATGATATGTTGTGCTCCTGTCTAAATGAGTGCCCTGTAACCTGAACAACTCATTCCAAAAAATACTCACAAATATCCGATCCATGTCAGATAAGATGGTGGAGGGAAAACCATGAAGTCTTACCACTTCTTTAAGAAAGACGTGAGCTACCATAGGTGCCGTGAAGGGATGTTTCAGCAGTAAGAAATAGGCATACTTTGAAAGTCTGTCTGCCACCACAAGGATAGTGTCCCACCCTGATGACTTGGGGAGACCTTCTATAAAGTCCATGGAAACGTCTTCCCTGACCTTGTCCGGCAATGGAAGAGGTTGCAGCAACCCCATGGGACTGACGGAGGCCGCTTTATTTTATTGGCAAACCTTGCAATCACGCACATATTCAGCTATCATCTTCCTCATACCAATCCAATACCACTGGGCTGCTAACCTTTGATAGGTTTTAAACTCACCAGCGTGACCCCCAATGAGAGAGTCGTGATACTCATGTAGTAGAGCTGAAGTTAAGGTTGATACCCGGGGAATGACCAACCGGCCTTTGTATTTTAGCAACCCATTGGCCACAGAGAACCACTTAGGAACCTTGTCTCCCTTTTCTCTCTTCTGCACCATCTCTGTTATCCCAGTATCGTTCTTGATATGCTGGTGCACTGCTGCCCACGGAACCCCACACTCAGCCACCATAGCCGAGTTCTCTAGAGACAGAGCCCTAGAAAGAGCGTCAGCCACAGTGTTGATGGCCACGGGTTTGTATTGAAACTCAAATGAGTACCCCATGTTGGGTTTCGTAGCGTCCAATGCTACGCGGAAGAGAAACCCGCCCAAGACCCGCCCCAATAAGTAAAGCAATAAAGCATGCATAAACATAATTAAACAATAATTAAGAGAAGGGATAAAGAAGTAATACCCTTGAAGCGTGCTTCGCTCGTGAACCGAGCTCTTACTTCGAAGCTAGAGCCCCACAAGCGTGAAGGCCTCCAACGGCTCATACCCTCGACCCGACCCGAACGATCTTCGTCTCGAGGGTTAGTCGAGACTTGACCAAATAAAACTAGAGTATTACGAACTTAAAGGTTTTCTCACCTTAAGGGAGATGCCTCATTGAGTTCAACTCATGTGAATTCCCAAATGCCCAACCATTGGGTATTTATAGAGAAAATCAACTTGTCATCCCATTCATGATCAATATGGGACAATTGCATTTTCCTACTAATTTATTTTAATAAAAAATAAATAATAAACAATGCAATCAACAATCAACAAGTGGCACATGGAGGATGATTGATTAGGTGAGGACCATTTCCAAGGGGGGGACCATAGCCTTGGTGCTCAAGGCAATGCCCACAACCCTTTGGTCCCCACTAAGACAAAACCGGCTTCCTCCATGTGGCTGACTAGCAGCCAGCCTTGGCTGCCAAGGTTGCCAGCTGGCGCCTAGCACCAAGGTTGGGCAGCCAGCCAGCACAGCTAGCATGCCACACGCAGCCAGCTAGCAAGCAACCTTCGCACAGCCAGCATGCGTGCTGCTAGCGAGCCACGCATGCTGGGCGCTGCAGCTAGGTGCGTAGTGTTGGGCGCTGCAATGCTAGCCTCACACATTCGCATCATTGCTGCTGCCTAGTGTTGTGCTAGCGAGGCACAGGCACACGTACACGCTGCTACTGCGATGGTGTTGTGCTAGCGAGGCACACGCACACGCACATGCATGCTGTGATGGTGTTGTACTAGCGATGCACACGCACACTCACATGCATGCTGCGATGGTGCAACGAGCAGTGCTAGGCCTTGCCTAGCGCCAGCGCCTAGCATGCTAGCAAGGCCTAGCCTTGCGATGCTTGTGCGCATGGTTTGCTAGCACACACGCAAGGCCCTAGCACGCCTAGCATGCTAGGATTTGCGATGGGTCTTGCCTAGCCTAGCACTCACATGGCGAGGCCAATGCGAGGCTACGGCTAGGCTCGTACTTGTAACTTGATTGATTTCACGTCTCGTCGAATTCTAAATTCGACTCGACTTGCGACGTTCGATCTCGTTGCTCTAAGCTCGATATCCGACGTCTTTGTTCGTAATACTCTAATGACTCATCAAATCCTTCGGATTGATTCGTCGTTTCGGTCGGCAGTTCGATTGGGTTCGACCCGAAGGGTTCAGTCAAGATAAAGCTGTAATATTAATTGTTCATTAATATTACAAATCGGAAGCGGCCTCCACCCAGGCATTCCGATCACTTGATCTCACTAAAGAATTAGCTTCCTGATAATTCTGAACCCTCTATCAGAATAATACACTTGTTGGAAGGACACCATTCCTTTCACCCCATCAGCTTGCTAATCCACCTATGGTAGGCTTGTCCTACCTCCCTCTATTCCAGCAGAAGTTTCAGACTCTTTTGGTCCGTTCGAACTGTGAAAGTCCTACCCAAGAGGTAGTGGCGCCATTTCTCTACAATCATCACAATAGCCATCAATTCTTTTTCGTAAATTGGTTTGGCTGAGGACCTGGCCTACTGCCTAACAATTTACTGAAAAACGTTATTGGCCTTTCAAACTGTAACAAAAACAGCACCAACACCATGACCACAAGCGTCGGTTTCTATTACAAATGGCTTCCTGAAATTGGGCATGACTAGTACAGGGGATTTAGTCATTGCCTCTTTCAAATTCTGGAAAGCTGTTGAAGCAGCCTCATTCCATCTAAAACAGTTCTCCTTAAGATGTTGAGTTAATGGTTGAGCAATGTGAGCGAAATTCCGGATGAATTTCCAGTAATATCCAGTTAAGCCCAAAAAGCCACGAAGTTCTTTTAAATTGCGGGGTTGAGGCCAAGCACACATAGCCTGGACTTTGTCATTGTCCACTACAACACCCTCAGCCGAGATTATATGGCCCAAGTAAGCTACTGATCTATGGCCAAACTCGCATTTCTTGCCATTGATGTATAGTTTCTACTCACGCATGACCCCCAAAACAGTGGCCAAATGCTCAACATGTTCATCCATATTCCTGCTGAATACCAGCACATCATCAAAAAAAAAACTAAAACGAATTTACGAAGGAAAGGGCGGAATACCGAGTTCATTAATGACTGGAATGTGGCCGGGGCGTTGGTTAGACCAAATGGCATGACAAGGAACTCATAATGGCCATTATGAGTGCGGAATGCGGTTCTAGGCACATCACCTTCTCGGACTCGTATCTGATGGTAGCCAGACTTGAGGTCCAGTTTAGTGAACATTGCTGCCCCCTGTAACTCGTCTAACAGCTCATCAATGATTGGAATCGGGTATTTTTCTGGCACTGTACTTTTATTCAAGGCTCGGTAATCCACACAGAAACGCCAAGAGCCATCTTTCTTCTTAACCAAGAGGACTGGGCTTGAGTATGGGCTCGATGAAGGGCGGATGATTCCTGCTTGAATCATTTCACCTACCAATTTCTCAATCTCATTCTTCTGGATGTGGGGGTACCGGAAGGGCCTCTCATTAATAGGATTAGTGCCCTCACGCAGCACTATTGTGTGTTTTATGTCTCTTTGAGGAGGCAAACCTTCTGGGCATTCAAACACCTCCCTGAACTGGTTCAAAGTGAGCTGTAAAAATTCAGGAACACTAGGTCCAGACTTAGATATAGGACCATCTTCTTCCATCTCACATAATTCCACCAAGAAGCTCGTTCCTTCCTTCGAGAGAGTCCAAATCATTGCCTTAAGAGAAATGCCAGTCCGTCCAAGCGACGAGTCTTCCTGCAAAGTCACTCTGGCCCCTCCTAAATCAAACTTCATCAATTGAGGCTTCCAATTAGTGGCAATGGTGCCCAGTTTCTCAAGCCATTGGATACCTAAAATGACATCCGCATTTCCCAACGTAAGTGTTAGGAAATCTTCCACCACCGTGAGACCTTGGAGGTGAGGGGTCACTCCTCTGCACTCACCATCCCCTTTGACAGATTCGCTGTTGCCCAGTTTCACCCCAACCCTGCCATGCCAAAAACAATCAAACCCAACTCCTCCACCGCTTTAGTTGACACGAAGTTATGGGTAGCTCCGGGGTCTATCATGACCACTACGTCTTTACCATTAATTGACCCATGCAGCTTCATCGTTTTCGGATTTGTGATACCCACCAACGAATTTAAGGAGATGATCGGTGGCGGATCCACGGGATTGATGGGTGTTTCTTCTCCCACTTCCACCACGGCCAATTCGCCAGTCCCTTCTTCCTCTAAAGCCTCCTCTTCCGATATCAACACGCTGAGCTCTCTCTTCTTACAACGGTGGTTCACACTCCACTTATCGTCACACCGGAAACACAAACCCATCTCACGTTTCTGCCGGAGTTCCTGCTCACTCAATCGCCTCATACCTCCTGTGTTTGGTGTTCAATTGTTCTTTTGGGGTGTCGTGGTTTTCTGGAAAAAAGAGGATAAATTAGGCTGGTAGTTGAGCTGTGAAGGGGTTGAGTGTGTGAGGTATTGTCTGGGTTGGAAATTGGTTATGAGTTTGTTGGGCTGGGCCCATTTTCTGGCTCCATACTTAAGCTTCTCCTCCACATTTACTGCTAGCTCCATGGCATCATCAAGACTGATGGGCCTCAACAACCTCACATCAGCCCGAATGTCATCCCTCAGCCCAGTCATAAATCAACTTAGGGCTACTTCTTCCATCAACCCATCTAGAGGAGCCATTAATTCAACAAACTTCCTCTTATACTCAAATACAGACAAGTTACTTTGCTGAAATGCCATCTACTGCTCATAGAGGTTTCTAGAAGCAACCGTTCGAAATTTGCAAAGGAGAAGAGTCTTCAATTCCTCCCATCGCGTTATCCTCCGACAACGGTGCTCGTATTGAAACCACAAAATAGCATCATCCTCCAACGCCACCACGGCGGCCTCCAAGCTATCCTTTGGGCTCAAACGGTAAAAATGGAAATATCGCTCTGCCCTAAGAATCCATCTATCGGGGTTGGTGCCATCAAAACCCGGTAAGTCCAACTTCTTCATTCTCCAGCTAGTCCCGTAATCTCCTGAGTTTTGGTGAGATGATTCGCCGAATTGCGGTCCCAATTCCAACAAACACACCGTGTCCGGGAGGTGGGCCTATGGTGGTGGTCTGTCCCCAGATTGGGAGTTTTGTTTCAAACCCTCGATTTCTGATTGAAATCGATGTGCAAACTTCTCAAAACGGTCTTCGGCGTTTTTAGCGGAAGCCCCAATGGCTGCCATTACAGAGGTCAACCCAGACTCCAGAGATTCTAGACGTTGCGCGTTATTTATATGGGGCATCATCCGGTCACCGGAATCGACCGCTCTGATACCAATTTTCTAGGACTTAGGATTAATTAGATTGTATAAGCAGATTTGCAAAAGGATAGAGCAGTAATTGGTTGTAATATTTAATCACAGTAATCAAATATTACAGATAGGCCTTCTTTCGAGAGGAAGGTGCTCTCCAAATGCTACTCAATTTTCAGGATGCCCTTTACATCATCATAGCATCCAATATATACTGCTTACAGCAAGCAAGCTTCTACAAGGATCCACAACATCCCCCCTTGCTAACAAAATATTATTCTCTAAACAAAAAGACTAACAAACCCTTATAACCCCCTAACAGAATTACAAAAACTCAAACAGATTTATTAAAAGCAAATAAAATATCTTGGGCTGAAAAACGCATCTTCCTTTACTTGATTTGCTAGCGCTTCTTCCTAGCATAAGTCACCAGAATTGGAGGCTTGGGCTGATTCCTTGCATAAAGACGGATTTGAAAATTCTTTTCTTAACTAGAGACGGATTTTAAATTCCGTCTCTAATATTTCTTTCACTTATTATCAATTATGTGAGTACAAGTAAACAAATAATATTAGGTATAGTTGGTAAGAGTTTCACTATGTGACTTTGAGGTCACGGGTTCGACTCATACCTATTGCGATTCATGAGATTGGGGATTCAAGGAGCCTTACATGCAAAGCCGAGTCGGGTTGACCTGAGTGAGGTCGAAACAAATAGCATATATTTTTAGACACAAAATTATTTTTTCCGTTTCTAAATTTAGAGACAGATTTTATTTTTTCCCGTTGCTTATATGAGCGATGGATTTTTTTTTTTTCCGTTGCTATATTTAGAGACGGATTTTTTTTCTGTTGCTAATACCAGCGACAGATTAATATAATCCGTTGCTAAAACCAGTGACCGAAATAAAAATCCGTTAGTTCAGCAACAGAAAACAAATACAACGTCGCTAGTCTCATTTAGGGAAAAGAGTTTTGCCAACGGAGTAATTCCGTTTCAAAATCTGTCGCTACTTATACTTAGCGACAGAAAAGTACAATCTAGCAACGGATTTGATCTGTTGCTAAATGTCTATTTTTTTGTAGTGATTAGTGAACATGAAAAAGATGAACTATACCTTAAAATCCCTATTGTCGTATAAATTTTCGATTGTGTTGATAAAAGAATACTACTCCCTCCGCCCACAATTATCTGCAACATTTGCCATAAATGGGTGCTCTCTATTATGTGCAACAAATTTTTTTCTTTCCTCTTTTAGTAAATTTTAAAGAGTAAAAAAATCATCTTACCCTTACTTTTATTTTTTAACTTTGTTTAACATCTTCTAATTATACTCAATTTTTCACCTTTTTCCCACTCATAAAAGGGGCCCCTCAATTTCACCTTTTTCCCACTCACTTTAACCCACCCAAAAACAAAAAAATAAGGGACCACTTCTTTCCCTCATTTTTCCCACTTAATTAAACCCACCCAAACTTAATTAAACTCCATTAAAAGTTTGCCTAGGAGTCCGCAAAAAGGATGTTTGGTGCAGATAATCGTGGGCGGAAGGAGTACTTCAAATTCCAATTTTTTGTGATACTATCAAGACAAAAAAAAAATTGCTTTTTTTTTGGTGTGATCTTGAAATTAGGTTTCTTATGAGCGACTTTACGTATATCTATATATTGTTTTTAAATTTTCCACTAAAAAAAAACCAAAAAATAAATTAAAATAAACCCAAAAATTAGAAAAAAAAAAAAAAGTGAACCAAACCGGTTCAAAGGAAAATGAGAAATAAATAATTTCCTTCCAAGTCAACATTTAGCTAGTTTTGAAATTAAAATTTATAACTAGCCGTTTTAGTAAATATTTTTATAAAATTAGTCATTTTGATAAAAGATCCCAAGTATTACCCCCCTGTCGGAGGAATCAATGTATGAATCCAACTCTAAAGATATTACTTTTAAATACATCATTTCTAAAATATTATTTCACAAATAAGTACTCCAATAGTCCTTTAAATGAAAGGGTACTATCATCACTGAGAGCTCCAGTAGAATACATTCCAAGCTCCCTTTCACCATGGTAGATAAGTTCTACGTACAAAAGCTACAATTTATACTATAATTTTTATAGCTCCACTCATTGATGAACTAATCCAATTGAAATCTATAATCCAATAGATAGAAACACAGAGAAGCAAAGAACAATACCCCATCGTAATCTGAACCATCTTCTCACCCAAGACATCACATGTCCACCACTCCACCCGTCTCCAACATGACATTTGGAAACTAATCAACAAAATCTTCGGGATTCAATTGAAAATACGAATTACTCAGTAATATCTTTGATTAGAGTAGTAGCACACATTAATGCAACATGCATTACAACTAAAATAAAGTGAATATATTACTTTTGTTTCAATTTCTTAAACATCTCAAACAAATTTACCAACTTGCAGAATACGCATTACAAAGTCAAGCAAAAAAAAAACAATACTTTTACAGCAATATGATACCAGAAAACACATCATGCAGGAGAGTTCAAAGTAAGAGGAGAGAGTTGGAGGTCTAGAATCAAACACAGCCATTTTTACCAATAAAAGCTCTGCAATGGTGAAACTCTCAACTGTCTCAACTGTGGACACTCAAGATACGTAGCATGCACCTTCTCCACGTGGCACATCGCATTGGTCGCTTTCCCATTAATTTCCTTAACAATATTGTTTACTCACATGCATATATATACAAAAATAACTTAAAACAAATAAATCACGGATACACAAACTAGTTTAAACTAAATTGCTTTCAAATTCAGCAAGACAAACTAGTTCAAACATGTTTCATATGCACACAAAAAATGAACTAGTACTGATCTTGCCTGTCATTACAAAGAGTAAATGAAAGTACTTATATCCACTATCAATATAATACTTGCTATCAAATTCAAAGTATAGCCTTTACAAAAGTTGTAACTGTGTTCTCTTATTGAGACTTTCTATACTATACCATAGTAATTGTTACTATACCACTAGAATGCAGAGCCTAGTAGCCTACACACCTTGTAGATAAGGGTGTTCCAAAGCCCTCTCAGCTGTAATCCTCTTGCTTGGGTCAACACTGAGTAATTGCTATATGCAAACAAAAAATTAAGTGACTTAAATTAGAAACTTATTAATACAAGTTTATAAATTGGCATTTATCTAGTATTTAAAATAATAAGTGACAAATTATTATACCAATATAAGATCCCTGCCTTCAAAATCCAATTCAGCACTAATTTCACCTTCAAGTTCCTTCAATCCAAACACAAAAGGTATAAGAATTGATAAACAAAACTTGAAAACTTGGTAACAACAAAATCAATATACCTTTTCAAAGAATTGTGGCATATCAGTAGGATAGTTTGGGAGGGAACACACTCCAGCCCATGTTGCTTCAGTTGGGGTTCCCAACTTCCTGATGAAATACGTTAGGACATAAGTTAATAAATCATTTAAAATGCACCAAAATCTATAATGTACAACAAATTATAATATGAACATATTTACTTGAAAATTTGTTGGATGACATGGAGCTCGGATTCGGGATTATTTTCAACAAGTGGCCTAGCCATCAAAAATTCATAGAAGAGACATCCTACCGACCATAAGTCCACTGCGGTTGTGTAGTTTACACTACCAAGTAAAATCTCTGGTGCTCTGTATTGGAGTGTCACTACCTATAAAATCAATGGGAAACAATTTTATTACAATAATGCTATTTCCCAACTAAACATTTCAAAAACCAAAATTACAATACATATAATACCAAAAATACAAACCTGTGGGGTATGTGAACCACCAACAAACTTTGAAGAACCAAAATCAGCAAGCTTGAGCTTCTTGAGCTGCTTTTCTCCAACTGTAATTTTTTGAACTAAAATATTTTCTGGCTTCACATCTCTATGTATGATGCCTTTTTTATGCAAATATGACAGTGCATCAAGAATTTCCTTCACATTTTTCTACAAAAAAATAATTTATGTTAGACATTTTAATATGCTTTTTTTATAATTGATCAAACATAAATAAAGATAAAAATGATAAGAATAATACCTTTATCTCAGAAGGAGATTGATAAGCATTTGGGTTCGTCTCCAATTCACTTTGCAAATCGTATGGCACATATTCCATCACTAAGTTTACACTACTTGGTGAAATAAAGATTTTTTCCAGCCTATTACCACCAATAAAATAGAATATCATAAGCTAACAATAAAATAGAATACATAAGCTAATGCAGAGAATGAACATTACAATGATTAGAGAGATAGAATTTCACCTAACAATATTTTCATGTTGGGTGTCCATTAGAATAGACATTTCTCTGACCAAACTTTTAGTGAGTTCATTATTCTGCAATTCAATCACCTTCATAGCAAATTGTTGTTGCTTCTCCACATCAGTAACTGTGAAGACTGCACCATAAGCTCCACTGTTTAGAAAATCTCCAATTTCGTACTGATTTCCATTAGTAGGAACTTCTTCAGCATGTTGTTGACCTATGAAACCTCCTTGTTTAATTTCCTTAAGTTCTTGTTTAATTTCTTCAAGTTTTTCCAAGATCAGTGATTCTATTTGTTCTTCCATCTACAATGAAAGAAAGAAGTATAAATAGCAGAGCAGAGAATGGGTTTGGGTGAGGAGAGATAACGTGTGGGTCCTAGTGAAAAGACTAGTCAGTGAGTTGTTTTGATAAAACAAGCAACTTTACTATTCAATTGGCACTAGTATAATTATTCACTGTATTTTTTAATAAAGATTTCAGATATTTGACCCTTTTTTTTTTTAGAAACAGGGAAATTAATTTATATTAAACCAAACATCAGGAACATACTTACAACAGTACCAATGCAAGCTCCCCAAAAGATTACACAACCAAAGAAGAAACTGATCTAAACTAGCCGAAATAAGACCAAAACTATGCATTACATGCATTACTAATGTAATGCATAGATATTTGATCCAACTGTAGAAAATAGGAGAACTAGGTAAGAAAAACACACCAAAACACGATAGGATGATCGAAAATCGATCGATTGATCAGAAAAAAACAAGCTCGCACAATCAATTAAAATATAAAGAACAGAAATCAAGTTTTCAAATATAGCTTGATCAAAATTTAATGCAAACTGTAGGAATATTGTGCAACAAATGGAAAAATTGTGCGATTACAAACAAAATTCAAATTACAATATCACACCTAGATGCATTACTTCAGATTTTGATGAACAATTGAAAATCGAGTAATTCAGAAGGTATATTAACCCATTAAATCAAAAAACAGTAATCAATTTCTTTATATATATATTACCAAAATTCACATATTAAGCAGTAAAATTAATACCAAGAATTTGTTCTACAATATGACAAAATGAATGAACCAATAAATTAAACACCCACTTGATTTTCTCTCATAATTCACCATTAATAAGCAATAAAGAATATTCAATCAACCCAGAAAATCGAAAATGCAGAAAATAATAGAGAGATTATCAAAGGAAAACAGCAAAATTGTAATAATAAGAGTAGAAAATGTCAAAATGAATGAACCAAGAAATTCAACACCCATTTAATTCTCTCTCACAATCCGCCATTAATAAGCAATAAAGATTGTATAATCAACCCAGAAAATCGAAAATGCAGAAAATAATAGAGAGGTAATCAAAGAATTACAGCAAAATTGAAATAATAAGAGTAGAAAATGTCAAAATCTTACAGCAGAGTTGGTGGGCTTAGATTCTTGATCATTGTTGTCATCGACTTTCTCCATCTTTATCTTCTTGCTTGCCTTTGAATTTACAATTCTCAGAAAATTTTAGAACAAAGAATTTTTGTATTTCTTTTGTATTTTTGTGAGAGCAATAAATTGAAGTGGTTTATACTTTATATTACTGGCTCGCGCTCTTTTTTTTTTGTTTTTTTTTTTTTATATACTAGCTCCGTTTTTTTTTTATGTGCAACTTTTGCCATTTTAGTCCGCTTACAATTATGTGCAACTTTCTATTTTCTTTCTATTTTTAGTAAACAAAAACCCTAAAAATTACAAATGTACCCTTACTTAAAAATTCAGATTTTCTTAATGTTACCCTTATCTTATTTTAATCACAATAACTTTTTTATCTAATCTAAAATCATTAACCTAATTTTACCCACCCATTTACTCATCTCCTAGTCTACCCACCACCCATGCACCCTCTTCATCTCTGCTTCACCCTCTTCATCTCTTCAACTCTTTCACCTTCACCCTCTTCATCACCCTCCTCCCTCCCAAGAGTCACGACCACCGCCCCTCCCACTACCATTCTCTCTCCTCCTTCACAACCACCTTCCATCCCATCGGCTTTCTGCTCCCTATGACCACGGCTTTCTGCTTCCTATGACCACCGGCTTTCTCTCTTCATCTTTTTTTTTCGTTTTTTTTTTTGGGTGATTTATGTTCAAATTTTCTAGGTTTTTTTTTTTCGATTTTCTGAGTTTCGAATTTCTGGGTTTTGATTTCGATTTCCTGAGTTTTGATTTTCTAGGTTTTGATTTTGTATTTCTGGGTTTTGATTTTCTGGGTTTTGATTAAGGGGGTGGGTTAGGATTAAGGGGTGGTGGGTGGGTTAGGATTAAGGGGTTTTCTACGGGTGGATTGCTAAACATCGCCCGCAAATCTCCACATAAAGCCCACAAAATTCACTTGATTTGACAATATTGCCCTTAACATAAAAAATAAAAAAAAAAAAAAAACACACTCACACTCTCATCACCAAACACTCATCTTCTTTCTACATCTCTCTTAAAAAAAATTCAAACTACGGCAATGTCAAGGCGGCAAGACAAAGAATTGGCAGCGGCTGCGGCGGAGGGAAGGAAGGCTCACGGTGGCAAGGTATTTTTGTTGTCTTTAATTTAAAAAAAAAAAAAAAAAAAAAAAAAAAAAAAAAAACGATCGTTATAGGCGGGGCGCTTGGCCAGGACGCCCAGCCCTGGTGGTGGCGCTAGATCCGGCTGCCAGAACGACTGGGCTGGTGTCTGGGCTGGACGCCCAGCCACGGTTGTGGCGTTTTTGTTAAGCGCCGCTGCCGTGGCCGGGCGTCCAGCCTATACGCCAGCCCAGGCAGCCGGATCTAGCGCCACCACAGGGGGTTGGGCGTCCTGGCTAGGCGCCGCCCTTGTGGTAAATTTTTTTTTTTATGTTTTTTTTATATGTATAATATATTTTTTGTTTTCGGAAAATCAGAAATATTTTATTTTTATGTCTAATATATTTTTTTTTATGTATAATATAATTTTTTGTGTTAATTTTGTTTATGTGTTAAGTTTTTTTAAGTGTTAATTTTTTATTGTCTAATATATTTTGTTTTTGAAAATCAGAATTTTTTTTGAAAATCAGAATGTTAATATATTTTTTGTGTTAATATTTTTTTTAAGGGTTAGTAAATTTGTTTTTATTTTTGTTTTATGTTTATATACTACGATATTTTCTATGTGTTGGTTTTTTATTCTTTAATTTTTTTAAGTGTTCTATTAATTTATTTTTTATGTTAATTTATTTTTTATGTTCATTTGTTAGTGTTTTTAGTTTATTTGATTTGGTTTTTCGTAGTTATTTGTCTTAATTTTTTTTTTTATGTTTATATATTTTTTAATTTTTTGTAGGTGTCGCAGTTTCGTCCTAGAGTGGGGAAGAATATAAATATTAGAAGTAGAAACTATTCGATGGAGAGGTCGGGGCCCAGACACGTTAAATCCCGTGGTATTTCGGCCTCGGCTCGTAGAGAACGGGTTCACCGTTGGGATGAGGACGAAGATGATGATGGTGAGGAGGAGGAGGAGGAGGGCGCATATGAGGATGTGGACGATGGGAGTGGACCATATGATGATTACGGTCCATTCAGTCAGAGGCTTGATGACATGTACGAGACGCATATGGTAGAGGTGCGTAAGGGTAGAGATGGTAGGTTTGTTAGTAAATCTGGAACATCATCTGCGTCCACCGTGTCTGGGGTAAGCAGAAAACGGTCGATGGTCGTTAATGATTCTTGGGTTGTTAGGGGTGAGGTGCCCGGGGGGCCTGTAGATGGGAGTATGATTCCTAGCTTTCTAGGACACATAGCTACCCGTATCTGGGAGGACCAAGAGAGGGCTTTGGTGACGGGCTTGTTGAAATGCCAAACCCGGGAAAAGACTTGTAACTTTTTGAGAACATGGGCTGAGGCTTGGCCGGTGGAGAGCGAGATGTTCGAGCGACTGCAGGGCACTGGGGTGAATCACCTTCCTGCCACCATGCACGATCGGATTGACTCTACGCTGATCACGACTTTTGTTGAGCGATGGCAGCCGGATACGAACTCTTTCCACCTTCCGTTCGGTGAGATGACGATCATGTTGCATGACGTCGAGGCCATTCTTGGGATTCGCGCAGAGGGTAAACGACTATCTGTTGTGACTGATGCGGATCAGGCAGATTTGCTGGCGGAGCTGTTGGCGGTGGACAGGGCTGCGCTGTACACCGGGGCGCTTGGTGTTTGGGATCACGGCGGTGTGAAGATCGCATCCGTGTTGCAGCGTTGTTTGCACCACAGTGCACGTAGGACGCATGACGCACAGCTGGCTGCTTATGTTTTTCTTCTCCTCGGGTGTACCTTGTTTCCGGATAAGAGCGGAAACAAGCTCAGGCCACGCGACATAGTTGATGCGTATGAGCCCGACAGAGTAGGCCAGTTTTCTTGGGGGTCGGCTACGTTGGCGTATTTGTATCGCCAACTAGGATTTTCGAGTCGGGCTGACGCGGCAGGTATCACTGGGTGTCTAACTTTATTGCAGACCTGGATATACGAGTATTTTCCTGCATTGTGACCACACCGTGACCCGGTTCCTATTGATGATGGGATGCCGCGTGCGTGTGCGTGGAGTCCGCGGTTGGAGAAGAATTCCGTTACCCGCCTCCGATCGATACGGTTATTGCTTGACAGGATGTCCCCCTTAAAGGTAAAGTGTATAAATTATTTCTAAATTTATACTGTAATGCATTTATCATATGTGTCTTACTAATTTGAAAAATTACGTGCAGGTGAACTGGATGCCTTTCGGCCCGAACCCTAGTAACAGAGTACCCAAGACCCTCTACACGGGACTCATTCAGTATCGTGAGATCGTGGAGGCATACATGCCCCAGCGCAGTCTTCGCCAGCTTGGATTCGTCCAAGTTGTCCCTCCTCCACCAGCATGGCCGAGTAAGGCGGTCTAATCTGCATCGTCGAAGGAGTAAGTCGTCCAATGGCCGGATAGCATGATTGCCACGTGGGAGCAGTTTCCGATGGTTGCCCGCTTATGGACTGCGGAGTTGCAGAGGCCGCCAACTGGGGTGCCTCCCATGTGTGACCACTACTACATGGAATGGTACAATCGGTATTTGCACCCGAGGTTGATTGGAGACCTCAACCATGGCGACCACACTGATGCTCATGATATGCCACCGCCCACTGCCGTGGAAGCGGTATGTCTCATAAAACATTTATTGTTGTGTTTTTTGTAAGTGCTATATATCATTATTGAATTTCATTTTTTTTTTTTTGTTGTGTGTAGTGGATGGGAAAGATAATGCAAGGCGTACAAAAATTCTCTCTGGAGAGGGACAGCATAAGTGTAGCAGGGAGAGCTGCTATTGATGAGTTGGAACAGACCCTTGCGCGTTGGGAGTCGGCGTCAAAGAGGGACTACTGATGTTTTTGGCAATTTATTTGTAGAACACTTTTTACATTATAATATAAGTTTGTGAAATAGGACATTATCTTTGCACTTTGCAGAATTTAAAATTATCGTTTTAGTTTTTAACATTTGACATTTTCGTTTCAGTTTTTAACATTTGACATTATCTTTTTACTTTGTAACGCGCAAAGTATGCATGCAAGATATAAATGTAGTCAACAGTACAATACAAGGATAATAAGCAACGCAAAAATAAGGTTACATAGAAATAGTGTACCCATGAAAAACTAAAAAGCGGCTAGGGCGTTCCATTAATGGATCCGGTCATGATACAGCGCATCCCAACCCTCTACGCTTGTTGTGCGAATGGCGTACCACTGAGGTATGATCAGTGGCACAGGAAAATCGGATGACAGGTCCAGTCGGATGAAATGTTTGTATGACGACCCAAGAAATGCAATAGCTAACTCTCTGACCGGTGTAGTGACGGTCTCACGCGAAGACCAAGGGAGAACCGTTGTACAAGGATAATAAGCTCGACTATGCAATCCCAGCCC